TAAGATAGAATTTTAAAAAGTTATTGTAGAGTGGTTTATCTCTAATTATCTTTTTCAAAAATAAAAAATAAAAAAAATTTATGTATGAGTTTTAAACATTTCCCAAAAAAAAAAAAAAAAAATCAAAATTTTAGAAAAAATGTGAGAAAACAAAAAATGTTTTTGAAATCTTGAAAACCCCCATATTTGGTAAACTCTGTAAAATCTTGCATTCGAAACTTTGAGCATTCTACCAATACCCAATCGTACCCTATTTAGCCACTATTTTTTTAATCAATAAAAGAATAATTATAAATATGAGAAATATTATTCAAACATATTACTACCTTATCGTGTCCTATTTAGTTACTACCCTTCCCATTGACAATTCCTACCGATCCGGGGTTTGTATCAATTGATTTGTATGAGTTTTGAGAAAAAGCGTCGATTGAATTATCTTTATTTTTTAATTCGTTGCCAACTCATCAATCTTCAAAATTAATGAATTGGTTAAATATTTTGGTAGTTTCAAATTAATGATTTAAGTGAGTGAGGCAAGTTAAAAATACAAAACAAAAAAGAATAACAACAAATATACAACCTTAAAAATGTATTAATTGAATGAATAATGTTATTCCAATTCGTAATTCAGAAGAAGAATATATGAAGTAATCAAATTAAGAAGTAATCATGTAGAGTTAAAGAGAAGAATATGTGATGAAAATGACAGGGATATATGTGATGAAATAACAGGGATACTCATAATTCACTATACGAAGTAATCAAATTAAGAAGAATATATGTGATGAAAATGATAGGGAAGGTCATCTTATTAATGGTAGTAGAGTTAAAAGAGGGATTGTGTGAGTAAGTCCCAAGTAATTTTGCGTATATGTAGGCAAGGTTAGATCAGTTTGTAAGTGAGTTGACAAATTTTAATTTGTATGGCAATCAATCAATGAATTTTAATCATTTAATCTACTTAATTTCTCAAACTGCACAGCTTGGTTTGGTTTGTGCAGGTTGATGAATTTTTTTGACAGTCGGTGGTAATAATTGGTGTGTTTGAGAATAAAGAGATAAACTATAATAGAAAAATGATCGGTAATTCTATTTTCACATACCAATTTCTCTCAGTGCACACTTATGAATACATTCTTAATACACACATTAAAAAAATATAAAATCTCAGCACACATATCTTTATTTCAATAATACTCTCATCTTCAATTTCAAAATCGTAATTTTCTGCCATTCACCTACACCTTCTACACCATCTTTGCCGCTCCTCTTAGTCTTCCATCGCCATTGCCATCGCCACCCCCTCCCCCACCCCCAGCTTATTCCCTTCTATCCTAGACCTCTATAGTCAATCTCGAAAATGGGATGGTTTGCACGGGCAGGCGGGCGGGGTCATGTGTGAGAGAAAAGAGCCATGAGAAGGGATGAGGTATGAGAGAGGTGGAGCTGGCAATGGAGAATGTTTATGCTATTTTAAAATTAGGGTTTGAGTAGAAGAAGATAAAGGTATTATGATATTTTTATCCTAAGACAAAATTGTATTAAGAAAGAATTTCATTAAGTGTATTAATTGAAAAAAATTAATGTGTGAAAATAAAATTACTCAAAAATGATAAGTGTTAAATTGTCACAACTGCCATTTTTACCAATAAATACAAAATAATTGTCATTTTGACCTGAAAAGATTTGACTTTGCCTTTAATGCCCTGTATAATCCCCTCTTTGAATTTATCACCAATTGTTTCAAACGTAAACTATTTATTATTATTATAAAGTCGTAAACTATTTATTATTATTATTATTATTATTATTAAGTTCTCTTAGTTTTCGTCTCTTTTCACAAATTTCTTCATAAATTTATAATAAAAAAAATGTCCAAACAAGTATGAGTGGTGTTATACAAATAAAAAAATTATACAAAATTTTATTATAGAATAATAATGTAGCATTTCTTAAATTCTATCACTTTAAAAATAAAGATTGATAAATATATGGAAAAAGATTGAGGCCTCGAGGCCTCGAATGTGGTTTGAATTGGGGTTTTTTTTTTTTTTTTTTAAAAACTGTGTTGGTTTGATTGTTTTTATTATTATTTTTATTTATTTGTTGGGTTGTATTAGTTTGATTGTTTTTATTTATTTATTTATTTGTTGGGCTGTTGTAACTTTTTTTTTAAAGGATGGTTATGTATAGGGGTGGGTTTAAAGTTTAGAATTTAGGATTTAGGTTTTTATTTCTTCCAAGTCTTTCTGATTTGAAATAAAAATATAGTAAAGACTCGTACAAAACTATATAGAATTAGCAAATTTTAACCAGCAGTCTAACTGATTAGTTAATTTTATCACCTAATCACTCTAACCCAACTCACTTATCTTATCAAACCTCATAGGCTAAGTTGTTGTTGTTGTTGTTTTTGTTTTTTTTGTTTTTTCTATTTGTTGTGCTATGTTGGTTTTTTTTTTTTTTTTAATTTTATTATCTTATTTGTTGGGCTGTGTTGGTTTGATTTTTTTTTACAAAAATGTTTCAGACCCGCATTGGGGCGTGACCCGCAGGACCCCTAGTGGGGTCTGATTGGTTTTTTTTTTTTTTCTTCTTCCAATAACCAACCCCCACGTGTGTGTGGCGGTGGTGGGGGTGGGGGAAAAGTGGAGGTCTCAATCACGTTTGTTTTTTTTATTAGGGTTTAGGTTTTAGAGTACACATAAAAATCCTTCCAAAAAAAAAAAAAAAAACAACTATTCGAGGCAAATTCGCACCTCTTTTCTCGAAGCCTTTAGCACGGCTCTAAATATATTTAGGGGACGTTTTTTTCGTAGTATTGAGGCTTGAGATTTGACTCTATGTTCATGTTTGTTTGGAGGTTTGGGGAGAGGGATTGGAGTATGAGTGAAGTGAGCCTCATGCATATCATGTTTGGTTAAGAAATGTTGAAGGAATTAGTATTCCTTTTAGAGTAGTAATCCTACACGGGGGGACTAGCAAAGCTTAGAAATACGTGAGATTGAGATGCAATTCCATGAGATTAATGGGTAAAAGACTATTTTGTCCCTTAATCTATATGATTACAATAATGAAAGAGGAGTAATTATGAAATTTCATAAGTTTAATCACAATCAATTAATACCATCACACTATTACACAAACAAATACACTTTATCTTACATTTCTAGCTTAATACCACCACATTACTAATCTCCTCATTTAATCTCACCATACTCATAATCTCATCTAACCTAATCCGCCAAACAAACGTGGGATATATCTAATAGATTTACTAATCCATTGTTTGGTTAAAAAAGTGAATGCCAAATTAATAATTAAATACACATCATTTCCAGTCAAATAATTCAGGAATTATTTATTTAGGACTAACAATCCATCGTATTGTAATTCGCTTTTCTCCACTCCGTCCAAACAAGCACCCTCTTATATTTTTAAAATTATCGTTAATACATCATTCTAATTTTAAATTAGCTTAATTACACTTTTCAGCATTATAATTTGACTCAAATTTCATTTGGGTTCTTATAGTTTTAATTTGAACAACTTAATCCTGACAATTTAAGTTTAGTTTCAGTTTAGTCTTTTTGTCAAAATTTCCATTAATTTTTTTACATGTACACCTTAAGTGACTGACAAGGATTCAATTTTTTTTTTTTTTCATTTTAACTTATAATTGAAGTGCTAGAATTTAAAATATAGAGACTAAACAAGTCAATTTAAAACAATAGGGATCAAAAGTAAAAATTTAATTAAATTACAGAGTTTGGAAGTATAATTAACTTTAAAATTCTATATAACGTGAATTACAAATACATTCTTTGAGATTTACTTAAAATACAAATTTACCCTCGTAGTTTTGAAAATTACAAATACTTTCTTATCAGAATATTTTATTTAACAAAATTAACAGAAAAAATAAAAATTTTAATTAATCTCATATACAACAATAAAATTAAATGAATTGTTAATTAAAATGTATTTATAACATTATTAAAAATTATTAATTGACTTGACAATTTTTTAATGTAGGAGATCAATTGTTATGTGATTAAAACCTTGAAGAGTGTGATATAATTTCTAAAATTACATAAAACAATTAGTATATTTTAAGTAAATATAAGGACATATATTTATAGGGATTTTTATTGATAAATCCAATTTAGAAGTGTTTTAACCCAAGAAGTCCATGAAAGAATTTTTTAATCCATTTAGTCCCATGTATGTATAGTTTTATTCCATAAATTTCATTTTCTTGATTTACACTATTTTTTTGGACACTTATGCCCTCATATTTAATTTTGATACCCTTATAAATATTTTTTCAACGATTAGCAATTTAATGATGTAAACATTCATATTTTAAAATTCACATTTATAGGAATGTAAATTGGCCCGTGGGCGGCCCGAAACCTGCTCGCGAGCCAGGGCGGGCTCGGCCCGTTGACAATGTGAATATTTACATTGACATGTTAAAATTCACATTAATAGGAGTGTAAAATTGGCCCCGTCCTGTGGCGGAGCGAAACCCGCCCGCGGCCTATGGGCGGCCCGGGGCGGGCCCACTCCAGCCCATTGACAATGTGAATATTCACATTGATATGTTAACATTCATATTGATAAGAGTATAAAATTGAGCCGCGGCCCATGGGCAGCCAAAAGCCCGCCCGCAGCCCAGGGCGGACCCAGCCCGGCCCGTTGACAATGTGAATATTCACATTGACATGTTAACATTCACATTGATAAGAGTGTAAAATTAGCCCGCGCCTCGTAGCTGCCTGAAACCCACCCAAGGCCAGAGGGCGGGCCCGGCCTGGCCTGTTGACAATGTGAATGTTCACATTGACATTTTAATATTCACATTGATAAGAGTATAAAACTAGACAGTAGCCCAGGGCGGGCCCGACTCGGCCCGGCCCGGCCTGTTGACAATGTGAATATTCACATTGACATGTTAACATTCACATTAATAGGAGTGTAAAATTGGCCCCGACACAAAAAAAAAAAATAATAATAATAATAATAATAAAAACTCTCTCTTCGAGGCCATTGACCGCCGATCACCACCGCCAGTCCTCCAGCGGAGTAAATCCCCGGCACCAGCAACCCACGTGGCGGCGCACAGTAGCTTTTTAACCCCACCACACTTGATCCTCCTCCATCCACAACAAACTTGGCAGGAAAACGAAGCACATTCTGGGAATTCGATTCCATCCCGAAAAATGGATTATCCCATTCCTTGTTTTCCCAAACAAACCCATCAAAGTGTGGTAAGAATAACTATAGATAAAAACCACTATTGCTCTTCAAATGCCAATTTGTAATCTCTCTCTCCGCTGAATCCGATTCCGATTATTCGCCAGAGATTCCTCTTTCTCTCTCTCTCTTTAAACCCATCTCCAAACATGCCTATTTAAGTCCAAAGATGCGAATTCCCAAGAGACCTACCGTCTCCTTTTGTCTCTCTCTCTTCTCTCCTCCTCCCAATTCCGAATTCCTTTGCTATCGTCTCTCTTCCAAAACTTCTATTCCACTTTCACCCAAAACAACAAGGCCTATTCATACCCAAGGTTAGTCTTCTTTGCTTTGGAATTTTACAACATTGCCACTTTTGTTTTGCTTGTTTGAATGAATCTTGAGTTTCTTTCTTTTTCTTTTTTGAATTGTTGGTGTGTTTGGATTGGTTTTGGGTTGTTTCAATGGTTTGGTTTGATTGCTTAGGGTTAATTGGGTATAAGATGATTAGTTTCTAGGATGTTTGGAAGCAAAAGACTGTTGATTATGTGAGGAAATTGGATTTTAGGTGGTTCTTGGAGCAAAACTTGGACTGTTTACTTAAGAGTTGGAAATAAAAACGCCCTGGGCTTTGTGTTCTTTCATGGGTCGTCCAAGGTAAGTTGTTAAAGGTTTTGATTGTACAAAATTCTTCTGCTTCATTTTTATTTATTATTTATTATTTATTTTTTATTTTTAATATGGGTTATGGTGGTTATAAAATTGAAGAAGTTATGAAATTTGAAATGGACAGTTACATGGGGGTAATTTAGGAATGATAAAAGGTGTGACAAAGCTTCAAAAGGATGTTGACACCAAAGGGCCTTTTCATTTTATATATTTGTATAGATTGATGTTTGTATACATTCTACTTGAATGTTGAGATGAGAGGGAGGAAAGTTAGACCAGCTGGCGGACGATTGGTGTGTTCTTTGAGAATTTTTGTTGATAGGGAGGGTCAACATTAGCATATGAGGAGTTTGGAGATATTCTCCATCTGCATTGGTTGAATAACACAATAATTTTAAATCCTTGATTGATGTCATGAATGGTATTTATTGCGAATAGTCAGTTTTTTTTAAAAAAAATAAAAAATAAAAAATAGGTTGAAGTATTAAAATTTGCATAGTTGGGCATCACTTGTGTATTAGTTACACAGTTTTTAAAAACTTGAATTTATCAATGATGGAATTTAAAAATGAAAAAAATAAAAAAAAATAATAATAATAAAAAAGAATAACAATTTATCTACAAGGATGAATTTCTTAAAATGATAGCATACTACCATATGAACTGTATTATCATAGCACAGTTCCTCTATCTCACATGCATCTTTGTATATGACCTTTTTATGATTGGATTTCTTTTGTAGTTACTACCACTTCATTTGATTAATTTTCGCTTGTAGTTTGCAACTTCTATGCTTCATCTAGGTATATCTCTTGCCCTCATATTATTTGTTTCCTGATTTTTTAAATGAAGTTTAATTTTAAATGGATGATTCACACTCGTTTAGGGAATTATTACATTATAATTTTATGGCTAGTCATTGTTAATTTACAATGAAAGTGAGTTTGGATGTAAACACATATACCAAAATCCATGTTCAAGGTTTATAGAAAAATTTGCATGAAATCATTCACAGATTGCATACAGTAGTGCATGCATACTAAACATTGATCTAGCTATTTCATTAACTTCTGAAATCTAGCAGCTTAATAATTGTAAGTAGTATAAGATTGGGCAAATACCTAGTTGGTTTCAACTTCTCAATTGCAATTGCTATTCTTATATACTTTAGTAGTCAATTTAGGTTCATGTCATGCAATTTCCATTTTACTAATACATCATGCATTCAGTTTTAGGGTTCGATGACATTCTCAAGCACCGTCAGGTAGTGATAATTTTTTCGCTTTTTTTTTTTTTGTTTGATAAATGCTTTCAGGAGCTAATCAGTTGCGTGCTAATTATAGAATGGATGGGGCTGGTGTAGATGACAAAACATCACTGTTTCAGAGTGTGACCTTCAGTGATGGTGTTCAGGAACCATGTATTTGGTCATCTCCCGGAGGGATTCATAAAATCAATATAGGGAAACGGATATTCTGCAATAGATCTTTGAATATGACAAGTATTGTTGCGGTTGGTTTTGACATGGATTATACTTTGGCTCAATACAAACCTGAAACTTTTGAGTCTCTTGCATATGAAGGCACTATCAGAAAGCTGGTGTATGATTTGGGATACCCTCCAATGGTTTGTCTGCATTTTCATTCATTCTGACTTAATTAAGTTCATGCATAGCCATGGTTTTGCATAAAAATTGTATGCACAACACACTTATCTTCATTCTCAGTGTAAGTGATTTCAAATGAAACTTGTCAATTCTGATTTTTATCTAAAAATGCCATTATGCTAGACTGACATGTTAGTTTTAGTATAGATTTAAGGAAATATAATGGGTACTTTCATTATTTGATTTGATTTTCACCTTATGTCTGTTATTCTATAAAATTTGCTTTTCTTTGTCAACCATGTTTTTTCTATTCATTTAAATAAGTTTGAACCTTATGCCATGATAGGTAATGGTCATACTCAAGTTCCTTTGGTACTTAGTTATCTGTTGTTCTGGCATTTGAAGAAAGTATCAGCAGGTTATTTGACATAAATGGTTTTTGCGTAGTTGTTGGAGTGGACTTTTGATTGGAAGTACATGGTCAGAGGTTTGGTTCTTGACAAAAAGAGAGGCAACATATTGAAGGTAACTGTTGCTTAGTTGTCTCCCATGTACTTATTCTGTGGCTGGAACACACACAATTACGCATGCGCGCGCGCGCGCGCACACACACACACAGTGTCTTACTGAAAACTAGTAGCTGATTCTGTCGTTTTCATGTAAACTTTCTTAATTGGAAATTTTTTTTCTTATTTTCTGTTCATTTATTAAAATACAGATGGATAGACACAAATATGTGAAAGTAGCATACCATGGATTTAGGGAATTGTCAAAGGAAGATAAAGTTGCAACATATGGAAGTACTTTGATACGGGATGCATTTGATGAACCTGATTATGCACTCATTGATACCCTTTTTTCACTGGCTGAAGCCTACTTATTTGCTCAACTTGTTGATTTCAAGGATAATAATCCTGGGAAAATTCCCGGGGATGCAGGGTAAGAGCGTACCCCATTTTCAGACTTTATGTGCTTTGCAATCAGTACCGAGTTCATTCTCTCTCTCTCTCTCTCTGTGTCAATGCTTTAATAATAATGATAATAATAATACTTAATCAATTCTTTAATCCACTCTTGAATATATCTTTCATTATTGTTAGAGAAGTAAATTATAATTATTTAGTGCATTTGAGGGATCTCATAATGCATTCCCTAGATTGATCAATTTGTATTTTGGGATTTACATTTTACTGGAGAAGGAAGGTATGAAAGAGGAAGAAACATAGTCAGACAGCAGGGGCACAAACACTTTAAGAATAAGCATGACATGATAGTTGAAAAAAATGCAGCAACTGATGAGAGAACGAGTTGCCAAATAAGTTTTAATGGCATAACAGTTGTCTTTTTCACCTAAGGATCTTCTTTGCATCTTCTCCAAGGTACTAGTGGGACTCCAAAGATCTTCCCTGCTGTTGTTGACCAGTTACTAAATTTTCTTGGGGTTTGTGTAATTCATGTCATTTCTCTTCCAAATAATAGGTGTTTTTGTTCACTTATTTATTGTTGGTTGAACCTCAAGTTCCAATATTTGCTTTAGGGCTAGCAGTCTCACTTGCTGTTGGATTGGAAACCCACTCTATATTTCTAGTTGGTATATTTGATCTCTTGCAATATTACTGAACCTACCATAAAGTTTAATTTGTTCTTTACTTGCTTTAGGGTGCCTTCCCAAAGCCAGATTCTGTCTGATCTTTTAAAAGTACGGAATTTTTGTTTTTTTAAATGAGCTTGTGTGCTCTTTGCTTTAAGAACTAAAGCTTATGTACGGCCTATGTGTCATTTTTTCTTTTTTTTTGTCCATTTACCATAACAAATTAATTGATTTAATGTAGGCATTGCTCTTGTCTTTGTCTTTCCCACCAACTTTTTCCCTGTCACTAGTGGTAACTTTTGATTCAAAACACCATATTCCATTTATGGAGAGATCCAATCATTAAAATTGATAAAATGGTTATCCTGGACCATGTCCAAATAGAATGACTATTTATGTAAAGGAAAACATCACTTCTGGATCTTGGAAAATAAATAATGGCATTCTGCTCGTTTAGAATGACTATTTATCATGTTACAATTGCCTACAGGGATGTCCTGATTAGGGGGAACTGCCTTTCTTTAGTGCTTCAGTAAAGCTTCAAAAATAAAACGTGCAAGTTCATTGTGGTTTTAGTCACAACTAAATTACACAAGTCCACTTATAAAGTTAAAAGAGTAACAATGAATATAACTTTCTCTTTTTGGAGATTCATTCGACTAAACTCTGTTAACTCTGGTATCTACTCCACAGATAGTTGAACAGATGTAGACGTTATCATTATGACATTGCTGTTACTAAAAGACTATGCTCTTGCTTTCTTCTTAGCTATGTTAATGTTATAAATATTTTTGCTTGCAGCTACTCTCGAATGTACAAAGATGTTAGAGCTGCAGTGGACTTGTGCCATCGTGATGGAACTTTGAAACAAATGGTTGCAAAAGATCCTAAACGGTATGTTATGTTGATGATTAGTAACTATTGCGGACAAGAAATCTAAGCCGTTCACCACAGGGTGGCTAATGGTTAATTTGACATGAAGCATGAATTGTTTGACTACATCATAGAGGGGTATTTGTGGTATATTCTTAAGCCTTTAAACCCCAACATTCTGTATATTTGTCTCTGTTTAGGGGTTCAACATTGGATTTTCTTATCCACCTTGTACTAAAACCTTGTCTCTAGTTTTGTTTGCTCTGTTGAACTTGTTTCAAGCACTTCCTAATTAGTTAGATGTTCATTGACATTCATTAGTGTAATGTTTCTCACCTGCTAAATAAGACTGGGTATTCTTTCTCTCCTTTGTTCTTTTTCAATGGTATATGCGACATACAACGAGAAAATGATTTGAATGTTACTTGGAACATTTTGTGCTTCATAACTACTTGAGGATAAGGTGGTAACCTTTTTTAGCCAACCAAATAGGACAATCCAGTTAATCACCCTGTGCTGAACAGTTTCATTATTATTAGTGGAAATTTAAACAAAATTGTATATCCTGGAATGTGGCTTTTGTGATTGATACATAAAAAGTCAATTATGATTAAAGGTTAATTGTCCTAATATACCTGATGCTGGCGAAGCCTTTAATCTACTAAATGGGCAAGGAATGCATTTGTTCAGGAAAAGTTCATTTGGCCATGCAATCCCCTACTGTTGCTTTATTGTTGATAATTGTAACATTTACAGTTAGAAATTTGTTCATCCAATAATATTGAATCTATAAGACGACAGCTAGTTGTGTGTGATTTATATTTCTTTCTTATTCTTTAAAATTGAGTTTGGGTTTTTAGTGATTGATGTGATTGATGGATGCTGATTGGTCATGTTAGATAGCTTAATATACATTGTTGGGCCCATTTCCTAATAAACGTAGGCTTTTGGGAAAATTGGTAACTTAACATGGTATCAGAGCTCTCTCGTTGAGAGAGGTCTTGGGTTCAAGTCTGTCCATTAGCATATGGTATTCTGTCCCTGTTTGGTTTCTTCCTCCCTGTTTGGATGTTTACTTCTCCTTCTGTTTGGTTCTTTGTTTGTCTCTCCACGTGCAAGACGGGGTTGCATGTGAAGGAGGGTGTTAGATAGCTTGATATATATTGTTGGGCCCATTTCCTAACTGTTTAGACTTTTGGTAAAATTGGTAACTTAATAGGTCACTATTTTGAGGTCGGAAATATGGCCAACTTATTGAGCTTCAACTCATAGAAGGTTGTTAGGTGTAAAATATTTTGTTAGGCTTGGAGTTACATCGGTTTAGTTGATCTTCCTTCGCCACCGTACCAGAAAATTTGCAAATCAAGACTATCAATGTACTATAGAAGTTTTGAAGTAAATGTTTTCCACTTGACCGTTGTGTTGTGCGTTCTGGGTTACAGGTATATTAACGAGGATACCTCAATAGTTCCCATGCTCAAAATGCTCAGAGATTCTGGCCGTTCTACATTTCTGGTGACAAATAGGTTGGTGTTTTTTTTTTTTTTTGGTTATTTTTTATAAATAAAGGTCTTATTGAAAGTAAAGTGTGAACAGTGTAATATCATGTAAATAATGATGCTGGGATCGTGCCTAATAAAGATGACATCAAAAAGCATTTACGAGTCCAAATTCTCGTAAGAATTCTACGGTGTTAAGGAAAAGAATAGAGTATTTTTCTCCTGTCCATACATTTTTTTGATGAAGAGAATTGCTTTATCCTTAGTGTTGTCATCACGGCCCTAGTTCCTCTGAAGAATAGAAAATTATGATTGTAATTTCTATTTATGATGTTGTCTTTGTTGATATATGGAATTTAGATTTATGATCCCTGGTTTTTGATGAGGTGTTTGCACCTTTTTGGGAAGTACATTTTTCTCTACATTATACGTGCATATCAGGCTGTGATTCTTTTTTTTTTTAATCAATCACATTTGAAATGATTTTTCTGGATGCTGAATATACATATGGATTTGAGAATCTTATTTTGCTTTTTATTCCACTATATAGGTTGATTTTGTTTGTGTGATCTTACCTCCTCCCCCCCTTCTCCGAAAATTGTTATGTTTGTATTAAACTTGAAGGTATTAGTTTTCAGAAGTAGGCTATGTTTTTTGCAAGAACTAACATTATTAAGAATATGTTGCAGTCTATGGGACTACACAAACATCGTAATGAATTTTCTCTGTGGACCCCAAACATTGGGTAGTTGTTCCATTTTGAATTTTGAGTGGCTCCGATTCTTCAATGTGGTCATCACTGGCAGGTTTTGTTCTCTTCTCAAAATAATAAAACCTTCAAAACTTACATGCTATAGGTAGAATTGCTGGGGTTGTAGTTCTCATTTTTATTTCTTTATTTATATAGTATACACTTAACCTATGAGTTGGATGCCTTAGAGCTATGAAGAGTGTATTGTTTCAACCAATGGTAATGTGTTCTAAAATGGGTTTAAATCCTTTTTCTCATGCGAAGTTATATAGATATATGCCAAAAACTAGGTGAAAAGTGAGTCATTCCTATCAGAGTATTGACAGGTATGATGGGTAGGACCCATTGCCAAGTTGTTTTTAATGTGCTTTCCTAATTTTAGGACTACTGAACTTTAAAATTTGAAGTTATATCTAAGGAAGCATTTATTCTTTTTTGCAGTGCAAAACCAAGTTTTTTCCATGATGAAAATCGTGCCCATCTTTTTGAGGTTGAGCCTGAGTCTGGGATGCTTCTTAATACTGATAATGGTACTCCTATGCCTCAGGTTGGTTTACATGTCCTATGTTCTTCTAAAGTTGACAGCATCCTTATCTTCTTTTGTTATGTGTTTTTACAATTTCATCTTCTATTGCCTAGGTGGGAGGTGCTTTAAGGCTACCATTAAAGAGCCTGAATAAGAGTTGTAAAGTGTTCCAGGTAATAAGTTATTTCTATTATAAATCTACCTTGTAAAATTTCTGGAGATTGTATTGTGTGCTTTTGGTTATGGGCATTTTCTCTATGTTGCTAAATTTCACTTGGTTCTCGAATAATAATTTTATATGCTAGTTATATTTCTGAACTTACATTTTCAGGGGGGCAATGTTGGTCATCTGCATAAACTGCTGGGTATAGAGTCAAGTTCACAGGTTTGTTAACATGTTGATTATATTTTTTTCCCCCTTTTTTCAAATGGTTTCTAGACATTATCAAGAAGCCATCACTTTGACTGCTACATTTTCCATTACAATGTGTTCATTGTCTACTTATTCCTTATTCATTCTTTCTTTTAATTAGTTTTTACTTATTCATTTCTCATTAAGATGTGTTCATTAACTGCTACATTTCCTCATCAGATAGGAATTTAATTTGTCTTTGATTCATTATTCCATTTGATTAATTTTTACTTGTTCTAGGTTTTAATGTGATTATGGTTCTAAATCCAGTAGGTCACGTTATGGTTTTAATTTTTAATGTGTTATATATTTAATAGGTTCTTTATGTTGGGGATCACATATATGGAGATATTTTACGCAGTAAAAAGGTTCTAGGTACACTTCTTACAGTTCTTGCCTATTCTTTTTGAATTGTTATTACTTTCTTGTAGATTGATTTTAATGATACAAACACAAGGCTTGTTAAGTTTCGATTGGGTGCTGCCATTTGTTCCTAACTTCTTTATATGAAAAATATGGATAAAGAAACTCTAGGTAAAAGAACTGACCTAACACTGTAATTGTGTTTTCCATAAACTTTAAAGTGCTAGGTCTTTTCATTTTGTTTGGAAAAAAAATTGATAAATCTTTCTTGAGACTACTGAAGTAAATTTTAGGCATAAAACAGTCCCAAAGTTGATTGAATACACTTTATAGTTTTATTCCATTATTCATATTACTCTATTATCTTAATTAGTCCGACCTAATATATTTATATTTTTTTGGAAAAATATATTCCAGGAATTATTTTCTGTTGAAACATAAGAGCTACAATGCTATTTATATTTGAAATGTTGAAAACATGTGAAAGATGCTCAAAAGAAGCTTCTTGTTGGATTATTATGGTTTGGACTGGAGTTGTCTTGATGTAATTAGTGGTTTTTCAAGCTGAGTTAATTTTATGTATCCGGATAAGAACAGTTAATTTTAACTAAAAACTTTATGGTGGTCGGTACCCTTTCAGAACTTATCTTCACACAGTGTGTATGACTTTTACTGTGGAGTTTAGTTGTTAACATTTATAGTAGAGATCATCTAATTCTTATTTAAACTTTGTGAAGGATATACCAAGCTGCATTTCAAAATCCATGTAATTCTTAAGAATGCGTGTCTCAGTTCATATTCTCTGAGGAACTGTTACTTGGACACATCTGTCAGATTAACTACTTACGGCGAAGGAATATGTTATATGTATTGATGAATGAAATTGAAATGGGAGTTGTAATAAGATTAATTAGATCCACCTAGGTGTGTTGGTTAGATGGATCGGTCCTAATTTAGATTTAGACAGTGAGAAAGACGATGATTTTGTTGTTCTTATTGTTATTATAGTATTAATAAGAATATGTTTGTTCAATTGCTCAATTGTCACTTGGTTTTGTCTGATGCATTTTTTGACAGGATGGAGAACAATGTTAGTTGTTCCAGAGCTCGAGAAGGAGGTTGAATTCCTTTGGGAATGTAGGGGTACCCGCAAGGTATGGATACAAGTCATTAATTTTTTTTCTTTCTTCTACTTACTAATAGGTTCAATTTGTATCTTTTATTCTACCAAATACTAATGAAAGAAATTTGTGGTTATGCAAATTCTTTGTTATGCATCTCAGGACTAGTTTGGTGTTCTCTAATTTATAACCATTTTCTTTATTATATATGTTTCTTTCCATTGAGATAAGAAGAAATTTATTGACTTCTAAATGCAATTAATGTTGTTCTCCATTCTGCAATTAATGAGGCGGTTTTGTGCAGCAACTTCGACTGTTGAGGAATGAGCGTGATCTCATTGAAGACAAAATACATCATCTGAAATGGTCTCTCAAGTACGTGGTTTTCCTTTATGCCGGTATATTTGTGTGGAATCTTTTTAGAAGTTTGGCAAAATCATACTTGTGTTGGGAGAATATGCCCCCCAGGGTGCATGGCCCCCCACTGCTGGGTTTGTTTAAGATACAGATCTGCTGAACTTCTTTAATTAATTGAAGTTGTCCACTGTGTAGTATTTGAATCCATGCGGACTTACTTCAATCAATTGTCTTGAGGTTCATGGTGATGTTAGAGCAATTAGAATATTGACTGTGACATATGAGAATTACACTGTGAAGCATTGGTTATTGTTTCCTAATGAAAATGATGTTTCTGTGTTTGACTTTGTCTTTGGCTCTGTGCCAATTTCTTTCATTAACTCTCTGAAAAAAGGTGTTATCTTGATTTATTTTTTGTACTGTTGTTCATATTTTGGTTCAGGTTTGAAGGTCTTAATGGTGATGAGAAGGAAAAGCTATCATCTGAACTAGAAAAGTTGGAGGTTAGTCCATGTTTTATCAGATGGTTTTGCATTTTAAAAAAATTTGCCCTTGTTGAACAGGGGTGTTGGAATGTTCCTTAAAGATGGAATCATTTATTTTTTGACCTATATAACCATAACAGTCACAAGACTCTGTTTGACACATGGCAACTGAAATGATGTCATTGTAAAAACTTTGTGCTATTATCAATAATGGAAATGTGTTATTTTTTAATCACAGTGTCTCTTGAGCCCTGAGTTTTGAGTTTTAAACAAGACATAATGAGTTATCATATCAAAGAGAGCAAATTTTGAGAATATAGTAGTTCTGTCAGCTTGTTACGTTTACATCATTCAGATATAATCTAACTGGTTAATGCTACCTCATTTGAACGTCGTGTTTCATAAATTTGTTTTGGTTCACGTAAAACGTGGCATGACAAATAACATCACCAGCTTAAATTAATTTGAAATTGAGTATTACCGAGAATTTATTAATATTATTGTTCTTGATGGTTTATTGTAGTCTCAAAGAGAGAAAGTTCGTCTCAGTCATCAACAGTCTCAGCGAGAATGTCACCAAAAGGTATGTATATTTTATGGGACTCTTTAAGCTGGATATTAGTGCTTTTGTGTTGGAACTTTACTCTTGTTTTTTCATGTGGTTCATGTTGATTGATGTTTTGAATTCTTTTGATTGTTGGAATGGAAGGGTTTCTCCTGTTGAATGAATATAGTTCATTTGTTTGTAAACTTATGACTCAACAATTTATTAATTTTCTTCTTTTATTTTCACTATCAATGATTGATGATTTTGGCTATTTTCTTATTAAAAACCAATTATGGAAGTTTTTTCAATTATATGCAGAGTCCTTGTGAAGCTTCTGAATTCTGATCTTATGGGATGTATAGTAATCTATTGATAAATGCCCTTTTATTGTTTTTGTTCTTCCTTTTCTTAACTTCTTCCTAGATGAAAAATTCTTTGATTGTCAGTGTAGATTTAGTCACAAGTTCTTCAGTTTTTATTTTTTTTTATTTTTTTACCCCTATTATTTTTAAAACTATTTTGTGGTGTGTTTAATTTGTGTGACTATACAAAGTATGTCAGATTACACTAATAATTTTTTCACTACATTTTGTTTATAAAAAAAGAGAGGGTAACTGTAGGCTTATTGTTTTTAAAAATGCAAACTTCACAGTCCAGACGAATGATGACTTGTTGGAACAAGCATGACATGTTTTTGATAATCGTTTCAGTTCCATAAGGTCTGGGGACAACTCATGAAGACTGGCTATCAGAATTCCCGCTTTGCACATCAGGTTACCTTAAACATATGCCCATGACTTTACTAGTTTGAATGGCTCTTGTACATCAGTTTGTGTCGTAAATTGTTTCTTTTAATTTATGCAGGTAGAGAGATTTGCCTGCCTCTATACGAGCCAAGTAACCAACCTAAGCCTATATTCCCCTGACAAATACTATAGACCAAGTGAAGATTTCATGCCCCATGAATTTGACATCCTAGCTTAGTGAAAAGGTCTTCAATTGAACATCATGCGAGATATGGCTAATTTGAGGAAGTGTCACTAATTGTTTGGCTGTTGGGAGATAATGAAAGTGGAGTTTTCATTGGAGATGTATTTTGTTTTGCTCTTTCATTCTCTAGCCATATGTTATGTAATTGAATTGATTGACCATAGAAATGTCAGTTTCTTGTTTGCAGCATTTTGTTTAAATGTTATATCTTGCTTAGCAAAGCCTAACAATCACACATAAGTTAACTTCTTCGCAGGTGCAATTCATCATTTCCATTCACTCTAAATCCTTCGCCATCACTCATCGCCTCTCTCCTCACCCTCCACTACCTCTCCCAACCTCTCTCTCACCATATTCTGCGACCATCCCTGTGCAATTGACTATTATTCCATTAAACTTTATTAACATAGATTCGATCAAATTAAATTTGAATCCCAATTGGGTTCTTAACTAAGTCCAGTCACAAGTTTTTGCAAGGGTGATTTAGTAATTTTGTGGTAGAGGTGGTGTTGGTGATGGTGTGGTAGCAAAGGCGGCAGTGGTAGTAGGGTGGCAGTGGTGATGGCAGTGGCACAAGGTAGTGGTGATAGAGTGATGTGGCGGTGACAACAATATTAGTGTTGGCAAGATGTTTATCCAAAAATGTTTTTTACGTTTGAAAAAGTGGAAAGTATTTTCTACTAAAATAAATTTGTTTCTGTTTATCTTTTTGGCATTAACTTTCATTTTTTCTGTCATATAAAATGTCAGAAAATACGAAACACAATTTTTTGAGAAGCAAACAGAGCCCAAGATTTGTCCACGGAAGAAGTTTATAAACAAAGATGAACAGAGAATTGTCCAATTGTACAGAGTTGTCTGCAAAATATAAATACTATTTTGTTGGACATGTACATGCAAATTTCTGTTAGGGTTTGGTATTGAGATTGTGAACTGGTTCAATTCATAATGTAAAATATTTGGTCCTTACAATGTTGAAATTGTATTGACAATGGTAGTGCAAATGACTATTTGACAAAACTAAGAAAAATGATAAATCAGGAAAGTTTCCTCCTTAATTAGGCACGTCCATGGTCCATATGGTATGGGTATTTTTAAAAATATTGTTATATGAATATCAGGTACTTGCTTCATACATATACACGTATTAAGTACACAAAATATGTATTTGGTACACAAAATACTTTAATTACGACAATGAGATGGGATTGGCTCGGTTCGAATATGTCAAGAGTATGTTTCGAGTACTTTTGTGGATATTTTGAGAATAAGTGTACATTTTTTTTTTATAAAAAATATAAAAGTACTAGAACAATAATATTGTGTCTATTTTTAAATTTTTTAAAAAGGTTTTTAATTGATAAATCACATTTAGAGGTATTCTAACCCAATAAGTCCCTTAAAGAAAATTATAATCTAGTTAGTCCTATGTATTTATATTTTTGTTTCATGAGATCATTTTTTCCTGATTTATATTGTTTGTTGGACTATTATACTTTTATGCCTATTATTGATATGTATTACATAGAAAAAGGATATACACATTTCCTTTTTATTGCTACCTCTATTTTGTTAGTTACCATTATTCACTTTTTTCTTTTTGATCAGTTTTATTCACATTTGTGGTATTATTTCATTGTGCTAAGGTTTCGAAACTTTAGTTTACACATGGTGGTGAAATAATATTATATTCCTCCATTGTTGCGGTGAAGTTTTGTGTTCCTCCATTGTCACTTTGCGTTCGAAGTTCTGTGTTCGTCCATTGTTACTATGTGTTCGAAACTCTATGTTTCTCCATTGTTGTAAGTTGAAGCGTTGTTTATGTTCAATCAATTTTGTTACAAACAAATTCTTCAAAGGTAGGTTTGGTTTGATTTGGATTGGTGAAATGGTGAAATTGCATAAATTGTTAATGATAGTGATAATGATAAAGATAATGATGAAGATGAAGATGAAGATGAGGATGTGGGTGATATTTTTATTTTTTAAAGTGATTGAGTTTTTTTTTTTTTTTTTTTTTTGTTTTTTTTTTTTTTTGGATTTCTAATTCTATTTCTATTTTTTTTTTTTATCAATCAGTATGAATGTTTACATTTCACATTGTTTGAAAGTCTGAGGAATAAGTGTTGGAATATAGATATGAACATAATTATATATTTTGCAAGATGTGAATGTTCACATATTATTGGTTATTTGTTACTATACATGTTGTTTGAACAATCATTTTTTGTTACCATTAAACAATTGAAATAGTTATTTTTTTACTTTCAATTTTCTTTCATGTTGCAGTATGAATGTTTATATTAGTATGAATTTAGTTTTTTTAAGATTAGTTGTATGTTAATTATAAATTGTGAACATTCACATTGTATTTTGTTATGAGTTTTTTTTTTTTTTTTTTTTAATTTTTTTTTTTTTTTTTTAAAATTCAAAAGTTAATTGTGTTTTGTTATTTTTTTTACTATGCTCGTTGGTTGAACAATCATTTTTGTTACCATTGAACTATCAAAATAGTCGATTTTCACTTTTTTCAATTTTATTTTATGTTTTCATGTTACAGTATGAATATTCACATTGGTATGAGTTTTTTTTTTTAAAATAGTTGTATATTAATTATAAATTGTGAACATTCAAATTGTATTTTGATATAAGTTTTATTTTTTTGAAAGTTAATTGTATGTTTGTTATTTTTGTTATTATGCTTGTTAGTTAAACAATCATTTTTGTTACCGTTGAACAATTGAAATACTCAATTTTCATTTTTTTTCAATTTTGTTTTATGTTTTCATGTTGCACTTAAATGTTTACATTGGTATGAGTTATTTTTTAAAGGCTAGTTGTATGTTAATTATAAATTGTGAATATTCACATTGTATTTTGATATGAATTTTATTTTTTCGAAAGTTAGTTGTTTGCTTATTGTTTATTGTGAACTTTCATATTGTACTTTAGTATGTGTTTTGTTTTAACAAAAGTTAGTTATATGCTTGTTGTTTACTGCGAATATTCATATTATATTTTGATTTTTATTCAGATTTTTTGTTGCGTTATTTTAAAATTTTTCAAATTATAAAAAGGTTCAAAATTCATAATTTGAGATTTTCTCCATAAAATGCGGGAGATATTTTCTCTTTAGAATAAGGGAGAAATTTTCTCTATGGAATAAGGGAAAGATTTTTTCTTTAAAATGAGGGGAGATTTTCTCCATAAAATGAGAGACTATTGTTATGTACTAGTTTTAAAATAGAAACATGTGTAAAAAATTAGAAAGGATGATGATTTGTTCATATTAGATTAAACATGACTTAACAGAATATTCAAATAGAATATGGGTTAAATGAATAAAATACTTAGAAAGAGGATTCATCAAAAAATGACCATTTTAAAAAATATAAGGTACTTTTGCAATTTTTAAAATATAAAAATTACTTGGAATTCTTTTTTTTTTACTATTCCAAAATACTTTAATTACTTTTTTGCATTTGATTTTTAATTATTATATGTCATGTATTATTAAGAATTATAATTATAATTTTTGTTTTTGTTTTTTTATAGATATACTGGACGATATCAATATCTTACTTTTTCTTTTAGATTTTGTCTTATTGGTGTATCTGTAATATATATGTACCTACATCTGTACCTATACTCATGTTCCTTAAGACACAACCTACTCACAAAGAGAATAGGCCTCATACAATATGATTGTATTGTATGAGACCCACTCTCATTATGAATAGACGGTGTAAAATAAGTAGTACAAAAAGGGTGCGGCTATAGCAAAGATTCATGAGAAAACTTACTATAGCTATCAAATTTTGATGAAAACAACATTCATGAAAAGAACATAAAGACAAAAGAGTAAGAAAGAATCCATATTATCCCATTCCTACCATATCTTGAAGAAGGTTATGCTGAATCCTCCTACACTATTGGCTTATGGAGTATATAATTTCTACTAGTCCATCCAACACAGCCTGGAAATTCCATACTTTATTCACCTATGCATCAAAGCCACAAATTCAATAAGTCCTTTTTTCTAATATCTTAGGATGGCTGGTGAAGACATTTGTATGAGACATTTGATTTTAGAAAAATAAAATAAAATCCAAAGATAAATAAAAAATAAAATAATAATAATATCACCTTCCACCAATCACACATTTGATTTTAGAAATAAGACACATGATTATTCTTTGTACTCAATGCACTTCAAATCATGTGATTGTGGCTTGAGAATCTCGTATTTCAAAAAAATTTAAATATGAAGAATCCTTAGCCTAATAATAACAGTTTGAACTTTGATATTACGCTTAATCCCCATCCCCTATGTGACTTCCTCCTTTCTCCATCATATAATCAAGAGGAGAGCAATCGTTCATTTATGTTCAGTATCTATTAGCTTGATATATGTTGTTGGACTTAGACTAATTTTCTAACTTCAACTTTCGAAACAATTTGTGATCTAACATAGTATCAAAGCTTTGTTCCAAGATAATCAAAGCTTTGGTCATGGGAGATGGTTGGAGTTAGTTGTTGTAACATTCTAAAAACAATTTCAATTAACAAACATTAAGAAAATGCCTCATAATTTCAAACAACCCAATTCAATTTCCAATATTTCTCTTTCTCATTGAACTATAAATTTCAACCCACAAAAGTACATATTACAGGTCATAGTCCACTAAGTTAGAGAAAACAAAACCACAGTCCCTTGGATTTACTCATTACAATATGACAGTTTAATACAACAAGACCCAAATCCCATAAATAAGGATATAGAAATCCAACAATTAAATTACAACTTCGAAGGTCACAAAATAATTAAAGTCAAAAAGGGAAAGTCATTCGCTTCTTCATTGGCGAGGTGATGGCTCATCATGTCCTGAAAAGTGATTAGATAGGAATGAGCAATTGCCTAGTAGAGAATACTTTTAACCAAGTATATAAATATTTGATTTAAAATATGTGTGATCACTATCAATTCTCATGAGTTCAATGTCTTCAATTTTATCATATAACACATGCATTCTGTAGCTCGACTTTTCGTGCCCCCTTTCGGAAGACGAATAAGCCCGATAGTATTGGACTCCTGCGATTCTGAATCTAATCTCATAAGTACAATGTGAAATAGATAAACACCAAACAGTCCAAATCCAACAAGTCTTTTGGAAAATCGATTTTGAATCAAAATATTAAAAATAGACTGCTTTGCTAGATA